CTCAAGTCCAGCTCCACTGGTGGGCAATCTGAAAAGGAAAGATAATGGAAAAGGCAACGATCCGGTAGCAGAGGTGAAACAGAAATGGTGGGATTTCAAAAGGAGGGATTCTTAAAGAGCAGCACATCTCAGGGGAGGGATCAACTGCCAGTCCAAGTGGCAGGTAAGGAATAACACAGGCATAAGTCTCAAATGTTCTTCAGTGAACAAAAGTTACAGAAATACCTCTGATGTCTCTAAAGTTTGTCTCTATCCAAAGCCCACTGTAGCCTATGCTCTGTTCTTGGCCTCTGTCTTGGTCCGCTATCCCTACCGCTGAATCGACCACTCAGTTCTCTGGGCAAAGCGCTGTCAATAATGTCTAGGCTCCTAAACATGTCTGATGACAAACTTGAAGGACTGTCGCCAAGGAGGTGTGGTAACGAATGTCATGGTGCAAGGAGACAGCACAGCATAGCAGTGCTCCAAAATGATGTACATATGAACCTAAAGGGCTGACATAATCCTGGCTTCTAGTCACGGTGTTCAGGACAGCAGTGGGCAAACCACAGGTCCCCCACACAGACACAAAAGACACAACAGTTCTGTTGTGGCCACCAGAAGAAATTCCAGCGCTGATATGCCACATCAGGCAAAGCTCTGTGTCAGCCCAACGCAAACACCTGTACAGGCAGCCATCTGCAGCCTTTGCTGCAGAAACAGAGGGCTTGTCTGACAACAGGAAAGAAAGGAGGATAGCTATCACATGGACCACTTTATTAACAGATCTCACTTTTTTTTTTTTTAAACATAATAGGAAGAGTGAGGTAAACAAGAAAGCAGTCTTTAGAGACTTGAGAGTCCCATGGGACTTTTGGAAATAGCTGCATAGTACTCAGTGAAGTGGGTCACTGACTTCCAGATGTTTATGCTTCCTTTAGTCCATATGCATGCTCCTTTCTGGTTCGCTTGTTTGCTCATTTCAGGAGCAAAATGGGAATCATGCCCTGTCAGAGCAAGGGACATGAGGTCAGGAACATGAAGTCATGACTTTGGAGATTGCCAGAGTTTGTTGGCTGATATCATTAGGTATAAATATAAAGGTATATATAAAAAGACACAAGTGACCTATTTTGCATGCAAGTCGTGTATATCACTGTGAGCAAGCTGCTGCATGTAGGAATGGTGTATAAGGTGGATACAACTAGAAAGATGAAAGAATCTGACCTCTTCCCTTTGCTTCATACTGAAGGAAGCTAGCTGTGCTTCTTTGTACCCACTGTATTTAAAACTTGGTTTAAAAAGAGAAAGATTTTTTAAAGCCAGCTAACAACCAACTAAAATCAACCATGTTGATATATAGTTTGGTCTATAACCAATTTTAGCTTGGCAAGCTTGGCACTCTTCGTGCTTTTTTTTTTTTTTTCCTTTTTTTTTCTTTTTGAGAAGTCACCCCTTTGCCAAGGAAATGAGGTAAAGGCAGCTAGTTCAGGTAACTGTTTCCGCTAGCTTTAACGCTGCTGTTGGCAGCTGCCCGAGTGGCTTTCCAAATCAGCCTGTCTGTTCTCAGGCTGATCGAGACAGTTTCTTGCCAAACCAAGTTTTCCAGTACCCCTACTGTAACTGGCACACCTTTTCCACAGCATCAACCTAGCAGCAAGATCCAGTCTGATTTAGGGCGACCTTTGGTCATCAAGGAATGGATTTATTGGGCAGAGACTGACACATCATCCCTGTGGTGTCACCCTTTGACCTTGAGGCAGAGTTCCCATGATTGCTCTGCAGTGAACGAAAGCTTGTGTAAGGCCATGCCTGTAATGCACCCTTGATTTTCCCATGCCCGCATCAGTTCTTCAAAAAGCTTCCATAAGCCAGAGTTGCTAGAATTGTTGAGCATCTCATTATGAATAATACCAGTTAATGAATATACCTCCTTTTCATTAGTGGACAAGTTAACAAACCTATCCCAATATTTGTGACTGTATTCATTATTCATAAGTATTCGCCAGTAGTTTCCACAATTAACTTTCTGCCCATTGGTTTTCACAGACTGTTTGCTTAGACTATTTGTCATTTGTGTCATTGGTCACGTATGCCAGATGCTGTTCTTTCAGCTCTTTGATCCAGAAGCTGAAAAAATTGATTAGAAGCTTAGCAAATGGTAAATTTTAATAGAGAATGAGGAACTTCTGCAAAAATGTAGTATGCTTTTTTCAGAGCAACATATTTTCACAAGCCTCTGGCAAGTGTGTAAACAAGCACAAATAACAAAAGTGATATGATCCCCCTGAATCTGAACAAACTAAACTCACTGATACTATTTACAGAAATATTCGTAAATTAATGTGGGGTTTGGAGTTTTTCATTTTATTTTGTTTCAGTTTTTGGCTTTTAATTTAGTTTGGTTCTATTACTTACCATTGCTAGATGGGCTCTGTTTAGAACATTTTTCAGGAAAATGGAGTTTTCAAATATGGAGAATTTTCTGATGACATGTCAGAAGAAATACAAAGACCTTTTGCATGACCAGTGGCTCTACCAGAATGAATATATATAATCCCTTCTCCTTCTCCGATTCCATAGAATTTAACTGAAATGTGTGTTTGCTATGTGTGGTAAGAACAGGTCCCCTGTTTTTTTTGATTTTTTTATGTGTACTCAAATAGGGAAATGCTGAAACTTAATTTCATGCTCCTATACTAGAATTGCTAAGAGAGATTTGTTAATGAAGGATTGCAGCAATGGCTGTATTAGTAAGGCAAAGGGGAACAGAATTGCAAGGAAGAGGCAGTTATTACCATTAGGCTGATATACAGTCCCTTTCAAATCTCCATGGGGTGGAAGAGCCAATGATTGCATGACAGTTTGTCCCTAAAATTCATTTTCATAAGGAGCTCATGCCTTTTTACAAATACAATCTCATCCTCACTTTCCATAAAACATGCAACTGGACAGTCCAACCAGACACAGACAGAATGTGAATACTTTGAATGTGAATACTTTGAAGTAGTGAACATGCTAAATGCACAAATAGTATCCATGATTTTAGCATTAAAAAAAAATCATAATTAAACCAGAGAGAATCCCTTTCAGAGCAGTATAATATTGGAGGCACTTAGGTGTAGAAATAATGAGTGCCATATTAGAATTAGGGTAGACAAGGACTGATACATAGGAAAGAGGGATCCTTGGGTCTGCCTGAAGGAGCTTTGAAACAATATATAAAATCAAGAAAAACCCTGATCCATAAACAAAACTAGAAGAATATCATTTTAACCTGACCTTAGCAGTACCTTCCAGATACAAGCTCACAACTTCAAATTAAGTTCTGAAGAGCAGCATATAAGTATTTTCAAAGAGCAGAAAGTAATCCTTAATAATAACATTGTTCAAGACTGGGATGCCAGAGAGTAGCTATGTCGCTGGCCTGGCATTCAGATCACCATAGTGCAGACAGCACAGCCAGGTAGTGACAGTCAACAACTGCTGTTCAGATCGTAGTCTTACTGACTACAGCACCTCTCTCATGTATCCCTTGCCTGAGAGTGAGCAATGCAGGCTACAGTATTGCACGTTTTAGCTGGACCGCCCCAGATTAATTTCTGATGACCAAATTGTCCCCTCAAAACCAAGGCAGACTCTTTTTTTTTTTTTTTTATTTCAAGTCTGGAAAGGGTGAGTGTTACGGCCACTGATTCACGTAATCAAGAATGGTGCTGGGCAGATCATGCTCCAATACGAGCTGATGATTGCTGTGGGTGCAAAAAGCTTAGCCATTTCTAGCCTTTGGGAGTGCATTTTATATAGGGGAGGATTTAGAGTAAGCACATACATAATATCCTCCCCATTAATAAGAATGCCTCTTTGCACACTTAGCTGTCACAGGGAAGCAGTTGCACCCACATTTCCACCCTATGCCCTCAGGCAAGGGAAGAGGTAGCCAGGGGAGGGCAAAACTAAGTGTATTTTCAGAAGCCAATGACATCCTGGTGAGCAATGCCCTCAGAAAGCATTACTATTGTTTGGAGAAAGCAACAAGAAAAATCGTGCCAATGTTGGGGAGGGCATTGCTCACAGGATAAGTGCTGTGGACAGCCACCATTGCTCTGCAGCAGTGATTTGGGAGAGAAAGCACTGGGGGTGGGGGTGACGTGAAACGTCGGACAAAAGAGAAGATAGCCAGCAGAGCTGCAGAACAACAAAGGGCTGCCACTCAGGCCAGTGGTGGAGCACATCTGACACCACAGGAAGCTCCACTGGACACTTGGCCCTGAGCTCGTCCCAGGGATGTCTGACTGACACCACTGCAGTGCATAGGTGAGCTTCTTGATAGGTTCACTGACATTTCCTGTCACAGTCACAATGAGGTGAATTGGTAGTTCCGGCCTTGGGATGCAGCATGGCTGTGTGTGTTATGGGTACAGGACAGTGTGCACTTCTGTAAAAAAAAGCAGTTAATAACTTCAACTGCCACGTGCCCAATTCAGTCACTAAACTTTAGTCCGCCCTTCTGTTTGCCCAAACACATACACTCTGGCTTCCCAACTGGCTTCTTTCTATGTGTTGTCCAATGCATGTAGATACCTCCATCTGCCTGGCCTCAGATACAGTGGTTGTTGCTCCTCTATTTGATTGCCAGATGTCACTGGGGAACAAGATGGGGAGGTTCCTGGATCCTCGGGACAAGCCGGCCGTCACAGAGGGAGCTCGCCGTCCACGCCGGCAGAAGAACAAGAATCCTCGGTGCCTGCCTCTGACGAAGACTCACCGGCCAGGACCACAGAGAGCTGGCAGTGGCCGTTGTCCTCATCTGAAACGCACAGCAACGTTGGGGAAGATTTTGAGGGATTTCAAACACCAGCGCGGACTCCGGAGTGTACCATGGACATACAGTCTCCTGGGGATCAGTCACTCAGTAGGACTCCTCAGTTTGAAAGTGACTCTCCTGAGGAGGAGGAGGGAAATGATGAAATGAATGAAGAGCACCGCGGTGTTGAACCTGTCCCTAGGGATCGGGGTTGGAGAGGGCAGCCCCAGCTAACAGAGGGAGAGAAGCTGTTGATGGAAACCAACAGTAGGATTGTGCAGCTGCTGGAAAATATCAAGAGGGAGCATGCACAGTCCATGGGTCTCATGTCACAGTCCATGGGCCGTATGGAGCTGCAGCTAGGCATTGTGGCTACCTCCACAAGAGCCATCCATAACTACCTGTCAGAGATTTTAGCTTTCCTCAAACAGCCAAGGACACAGGTCCTTGAGACACGTATCTCCCAAAGAGCCACCCCCCACGTCGAGTTAACCTGTGCCTCGACGTGGACTGGTGAGGACTCAGTGGCAGCCTCCACTGTGTGCTTACCAGGGGGTGAAGGGACTAGCGACTCTCGAGAACCACCACAGGCCACTCTGCCTTGTCGCAGTGGCCGGCTGCAGAGAGCCATAACCGAGAGGGCCTCTTTGCCCATGCCTACACGCCAGGCAAAAGGGGGAGGGAAGAAGAAATAACCACACCATAGGATTTTTAGGGTTTTTTTTTTTTTTTTATGTGCCTGTCCTTTTAATTCTTAGCCATAAGGCCATCAGTGGCAGATTTCAACCATTTCCACATTGGCTAACATTGTATTCTGGCTGACTAGATTAGTCTTAACATTTTGTAGCTTATATTTGCACTGTTAATAATGTGTGCTGCTGGTATTTGAAGAACATTTGCCTCTGTTCTTTCACTTTAACTTCATAAGAGCGTTTTTTTACTCTGTGCCAGGCCTTCATTGCTTTTCTTACAAATACAAGTCATTTCTTGAGGCAGCTGTTTTTTGAGTTTTCTTTCTCCATTATCCCATCCCCTCTGAGCAAGCATTCTGGACTTGGTGGTAAGTATACAGGTCTTGGCAATACTCGCCTCCAAAACTGTGTTCGATCAGTCTTTGCCTGGTGTTTCTGGCATGCCAGCCTGAGGTGTTGGGGTTAGCCTGTACTGGACCATGATCATTCTTATCCTCTGTGGGTCTGACCAGCTCACTTTCTAAGACCCTCGGTGGAGCTAATCCACGTGTCTTGGCTATGTCGTATAATCAGTAATGTTGCCAGGATCATATCTCATATATAACTTTTGGGGCCTGTATAGTAATGTGCCACCAGATCTATCTAGGCGCCTGACTCTCATTTTCAAAGTTCCTTTTATGATGGATCTGGTGGTTTGATGGGCAGCATTATAATTTTTCCTCTGAGAGAGCCTGGGGATTGGAAACAGGAGTCATTAAGCAATGTGTTTTATGGGGATAAGAACCACCTCCTGCAACAAATCTGTTAGGAGGAGACTGTCTCCTGTAATTATCAGATACTAATTACTTGAGCAAAAAAAGAAAAAAAAAATGCAGCTTACCTAGCAGCCAGACTTCTGGAGAATGTAAATGTCATGACATGCTGTTGGGTTCTGTGCTACTATGTCTGTGATTAAGAGCTTTTCATCAGAGATGACCTACATGTTGATAAAATGCAACTACTTTTTGTGCCTTTAGGCCATCTCATTTCCTGAGGGCTGGCACCCTGAGCAGAACTTGGGTGCAATTGGTAACCCACAGGACAGATGGAAGTGCACTTTGCAATAAATTATTTTATATCTTTTGGTGCTGCCTCTCTCGGGGGAATTTAATATAGTGGCACTCAAATTGCTGTATGCATGCAGAGGCATCAGACTGGCTTATACATGTGGTATCCCTGACAGTTCTCCGAAAGGACGCTGTTACCAGGAGCCCCTTGAGCGGTGGTAACTAATTATCACAGGTGTAGCATGGCTCCTGTGTTTGACTCTCAACATCCCTTTGAAACTTCTCGTAGAGGTTCAGAAGAGTTTGTATGGCAAAACAGTAATGAATTTCTCCTCTGGCGAATCTTAGCAAATAATTGTAGCCTAAAAATCCTCTTCTACGATTACAGTTGAGCTGCGCTCTCTCTCTCGCTCTCTCTGTCCAGTGAGCTGTAGCCTCTTCTTCCGTCTTTCTTTGAGACTGAGGTTAATCAAAATAAAGCAGATAACATTTTGTTATTCTACCAGTCAGCCACAAATTGCTCCCTTATAAGTGTGTGTGCGTGTGTGTTTGTGGCTGTATTTTGCTAAATGACCAGTTTAACATGAAATGCAGCTGGTATGGCCAACCTCCAACGTAGGCGCTTTCCAGTACAGGATATGTCTTCCCTACCAGCTACATCCAGCTGCGTTCTCTTTAAGAATATCATTGGAGCCGTGCTGCTTTGGCTGCAGTCAACACACCTCACATCAGGTGCAAGGTGTATTTTTGCACCTTTTCTGTGGCTTTTTTCTCTCTTTTGTTAAAGCTGTTTTTAAAGGTATCCTCAAGAGAGTTTCCAATACAAGCTTGTAAGATTACCCTCTCACTGGTACAAGAAACATATACTGCAAAATATTTCAGGTCACAAGAAGTTTGGGGGAGAAGTCCATTAGTAGGGCTGACAAATAATTCCAGTATGTGCCGCCTTTTGAACATGTATTTCTGGTGCATACATGGTTTGCACGCTGGTAATGTGGATATGAACAGCCTAGTTAAAGGCAAAGGCAAGTGAAAGTTTGTCCCAATATGCTTACGTTTTATTTCTTTGGGATGAGTTTGAATGAAGCTAAATACAAGTCAGCCAGTTAATGTCTTGGCCTAATTAGCACATGTACGATAATACAATGAGAACGTTTTTATTTTATATAGTGCTTTCACTTCAAAAGTATGGTGCAGTTGTGGCCAGATGCTAAGATTTTGATGTATTCTGCAGGACCCGCCATGTAGCTGCTGCCATTTAGGATAAATCTTATTCCACAAACTGGCTGCTTTTGTAGCTTCATATTTTTTTGTTGCAGTTTTAAAATGCCATCCTCCAGCCTACCTTTGCATTCTGATCAAAGACAGTAGAGCAAAAGAACAAGCTATGCAGATGTAGCAGTGCTGTCGTTGGAAATACTGTGCAAGGAACCCCTAAAGCGTTTCTTGCGAAGCACCTTAAGCTTTTAACCTGATCTCCTCTCCCATTTCAAAGTGCTTTAGCTAAATTTGGAAAGGCACAAAGCACCACTCGAATGGGAGCAGCTATAGGGTAAGAAGGACTGAGAACCTATCTACAGACAAGAAACCTGCAATCAACTCGCACAGAATAAAAGTTTTCCCAACTGGAGATAGCAGATGATATTAAGAATTGGTACCAACTGATATTTTGGTCAGATCCAAAATTAGGATCTGACTTCTAGTATTGTCGAGCAAAATCAGTGTAGTTGGAGGGTATGTGTGTTTCATCCCCTGAACAAATACAAATATTTTCATGCCTTTCAAGTGTCTGTCATAGCCTCATCACTCTTTC